TATTTTTTAGTAGAGATGGGGCTTCACTGAGTTAGGCAGGATGGTCTTGATCTCCTGACCTCGTGATCTGCCTGTCTCAGCCTCCCAAAGTGCTGGGATTACAGGCTTGAGCCACCGCGCCTGGCCTGGAACCATTTTTGTAATTTCATTTTCTGATTGTTCATTGTTAGTGTACAGAAATGCAAGTATTTTTTATGGTTGGCTTTGTATCCTGCTAATATGCTAATTTTATTTGTTCTAATAGTGTTTAATCTTTAGGGTTTTCTATATATAAAATCATACCATTTGTGAGCAGAGACAATTTTACTCCTTCTTTCCAATTTGAATGTCTTTTATTTCTTTTTCTTGCCTCCTTGCTCTATTTAAAACCTCTAGTAATATGTTGAATAGAAGTGGCAAAAGCAGGAATTCTTGCCTTCTTCCTGATCTTACAGAAAAAGGTTTCAGTCTTTCACCATTGAGTATGATGTTTGCTGTGGGTTTTTCTTATATGGCTTTTATTATGTTGAGGTGGTTTCCATCTATTCTGAGTTTGTTGACTGTTTTTATCATGAAAGGTTGTTGAATTTTGTCATGTGCTTTTTCTGCATCAGTTGAGATGATGATGTAAGGTTTTTTTCATTCTCTTATGAACCCCAAAAATCTGAGACAAGTCTCAGTCAATTTAAGAAGTTTCTTTTGCCAAAGTTAAGGACGCGCATCCAGGAGACAGGTCTGTGCCTTTCTCTGAACATGAATTTTAGAGTTCCAAATTTAAAGGGGAAAGGGCAGGATATTGAGAAGTACACAGTTTTCATGTAAGAGCAGGATAGGGGGAAAATAGTCATTCATGCCTTTGTCTGGCTCAGTGAATTTGCATTTTTATGTAAGGTAACATAGGGCAGGGGAAAATGCGGGGAACCTGCATGTAAATAAGGTAACAAAGACAAATGGGACAGGGGAATAATCAGATATGCATTTGTGCCAGGTGGGCAGAGGGGTGATGCCTCTGTAAAGATAAGCTATCCATTTACATTGCCATGGTGAATTTTATCAGACAGCTGTCTTGGAGCTCACCAGGAATTTCCTTGTGGGCAAAATCTGAGGGAGGTATGTAGCTGTTCATCTTGCAGCCATCTTATTTAGGAACCAAAACGGGAAGGTGGGTTTGTGTGACCCAGTTCCCAGCTTGACTTTTCAAGTTTGGCTTAATGAGTCTGGGGACCCAAGATTGATTTTCCCCTCACACTGTTAATGTCGTGTATGACACCAGCTTTCATATGTTGAACCATCCTTGTCTGTGTAGTTCAATGACAAGGTGTGTTTGTTTCTGCTTCCTGCAGAGCAGAAAGACCATGGGTTTGAGGTGGCCTCCACCTCCCCTGAAGACGAGTCCTCTGGCAGTAACCCCGAGCCAGACGCCACCCCGTTCCAGGAAGATTTGAGGACCTTCGACCAGCTGGACGCTGTATCTAGTTTGCCCACACCCAGCGACATCTTTGTGTCCTACTCTACTTTCCCGGGTGAGCACATCAGAAGGGCTCGCCCTTGCAGCCAGAGGGCCTTCCTATCTGCCCTAGAGGCAGCTGTGTGGTGAGAGAAGAGACCAGGGTATGAGTCCTGGTTCTGTCTCTTGCTCCTCTGTGACCCTGAATGACTGACTTCTCCTCTCTGAATCTTGGCTCAGGCTGAGCAGACAAGGATGTGCACTGCAAGGAGGCCTGCGCCCTTGGGTTCCTATGCCTCACTTGCCTCTCCTCTGCCTGACTCTGCCTCTGCCTTCGCATCTTTAGCAGGGAATAGGAATTGTGCCTCAAGGGTTGCCATGGCGATTAAACAGGGTGGCTGGCACGTCACTGAGCACAGTACGTGGCACATAGTAGGTGCAGCAGGTGGTAGTTTCCTTCCTTCCTTTTTTTTTTTTTTTTTGAGACGGAGTCTTGCTCTGTCACCCAGGCTGGAGTGCAGTGGCACAATCTCAGCTCACTGCAACCTCCACCTCCCAGGTTGAAGTAATTCTCCTGCCTCAGCCTCCTAAGTAGCTGGGATTACAGGCGTGCACCACCACACCCAGCTAATTTTTGTATTTTTAGTAGAGACAGGGATTCAGCATGTTGGCCAGGCTGGTCTTGAACTCCTGACCTCAAGTGATTTGCCCACCTCAGCCTTCCAAAATGCTGGGATTACAGGTGTGAGCCACTGGGCCCGGCAGTTTCCTTCCTTTCTTATGCCTTGGATGAGTCACTTCACTTTTCCAAGCCTTCGTTTCCTTGCTGGGAAAACGGGAATCATAGCTCGAATCAGGAGATGGTCACGAGGTGAAATAAGATCATGATTAGGGCAGAGCCTCAGGGGCCAGGCTGCTCCTGCTGGATGCATGCGTGAGTCAAGATCTGCAGGGCGCCCGAGCCTGCGTACGTGGCTGGGCATGGGGGCAGGGGCGCGGGGGTGGCTCTTCAGCAGTGTTCAGTCCTCCTCCCTCCAAAGGTTTTGTCTCCTTGAGGGACCCCAAGAGTGGCTCCTGGTACATTGAGACCCTGGACAACATCTTTGAGCAGTGGGCTCACTCTGAAGACCTGCAGTCCCTCCTGCTCAGGGTGAGTGCTGCCTTCCTCTGCAAAGGAGAGGGGAGACTGCTGGGGGGCAGCGTGTTCTCCTGGGGCTGGGGATTATGGGGTGAGCAGGGCAGGCCCAAACCAAGGGTAAAAGGTAGTAGACTCCTCTGAGCCTTGGAGTCAGTACTTTTGTGTCTCTATGAGAGGCATTCCTGCCTGTGGTGACATTTGCCCTTTATTCAAAGAGTTGCCTTCCCTGTCTCCTCCAAGGTCCCCAGGTTGACACCTCCTGCTCCTCCACTGATGGAGCTGGTCCTCGGTGCCAGCGCGGGATGGCTCTGTCCAGATCCCGAAGGCGGGTCATGGGCCCCTCCCTATACCCTGCGGCCATCACGCAGTCTTCTACTCTTGACCCTCAAGAATTATGAACCCCTCCTTGTACATCTCCTTCTCAGGAGGCCCCAGTGAGGAAACAGATAGGAAAGGGTGGCCTGAGGGTGGCCTGAGAGGCCCAGTCCTACTCCAAGGAAACCCCACTCAGAACGGTTGCTTCCTCTGAGGGTCCCGTAGACCTGTGGCTGCCTTGGGGAAGCAGCGCATGTGGGCCCCTGCTGCTCTGCTCAGGTGTTCCTGCGTGAGAAGGGGCCATGGGGCTGAGGCCACTCCTTGCTCCTTGCAAATAGTTCAGTCTGATTTGAACTTTATGAGTTTGGAAATTTTGAATTTTGAGTTTTTTAAAGGTAAAGTTGAGGTGCGTGTTCTTTAAGCCCTCCTGCTCAAAGAGGCTGCAGTTTGAGCTGTTTTTAAGGTGTCGGTTGAGTGGACATTCCCCCCAGCCCCTCTTGAATTGTTCCTTCAGTCCAGAGAACTGAACTCACAGAGCTCTCCATGGTCATGTCTTACAGGTCGCTGATGCTGTTTCGGTGAAAGGGATTTATAAACAGATGCCTGGTTGCTTTAATTTCCTCCGGAAAAAGCTTTTCTTTAAAACATCGTAAGGCCAGGGCCCCTCACCCTGCTTTATCTTGCACCCCAAAGCCTTCCTGCCCCAGGCCTGAAAGTGGCTGAGACCTGGACTTTCCTGCAACTCAAGGACTTTGCAGCCGGCACAGGGTCTGCTCTTTCTCTGCCAGTGACAGACAGGCTCTTAGCAGCTTCCAGATCGGTGACAAGTGCTGAACAGTGGAGGAAGAGGGACAGATGAATGCCATGGATTGTGTGTGGCCTCTTGAGCAGTGGCTGGTCCAGGGCTAGTGACTGTCCCGTGATCCCTGTGTTCTCTCTAGGGCAGGGATTAACCTCTGTACTACTGACCTGTGGGGTCAGGTCACCCTTTGCTGTGAGGCTGTCCTGGATGTTCAGCACTGTCCCTCGCCTCAATGCCAGTGACACGTCTCCCTGAGTGGTGCCAAACAAAAATGTTCTCAGGTGTTGCCAAATATGTCCTGGGGTATAAAACTTTACTCACCTGACCACCACTGGTCTGTAGGGATTTTTGGCTACACACAAACCAGTATCTCTCATAGATCAGCAAGCTGGGGCCTACTAGAGCCTGAACAGCTGTAATCTGTGAATTCTAAGTGAAGTTTTAAAAATTGTTAATTTTTCCTACATTGCATTAATCTTAAAAAATAAAAGGCAAATATGGACTCTCTTTTGCCTCTTTCTTCCCTCATTTTGCTCCAACTCTTTGTTCTTCCTTACAAAAGAGACTTTTGCTTTTTTCAAAACATTTCCCCATGTTTTTCTGGGCTCTCACTATGTTGCCCAGGCTGGTCTCAAACTCCTGGGCTGCGGTGACCCTCCCAAGTAGCTGTAACTGCAGGCTGCACCACCTCACCCAGCCCCATTTCTTCATGTCTCATTTCACTTGATCCCTATTCCATCCCAGGAAGGCAACAAGGGAACAAGGGTGAGAACCCTGTGCTCAGGGAGGTTAGGTCTCTTGTCCAAGGGAACACCATTATCCAGAGATAATTATAGGGAGGGGCCCATGAAGCATCCCCAGACTGCAGTGTGAATGTGCTGTGCAATAGTGACACGTTGGGCTGCTCCACTCTGAGGTCTTTTAAGCTGTCCTTATGCCAGCCTATTTGTTGTTTTTTGGGCTTTTTTTTTTTTTTTTTGGAGAAAGGGTCTTACTCTGTCACCCAGGCTGGAGTGCAATGATACGATCTTGGCTTCCTGCAGTCTTGACCTCCTGGGCTCAAGAGATCCTCCCACCTCAGCCTCCTAAGTAGCTGGGACTATAGGTGTGCACTACCTCTCCCAGTTAATTTTTGTATTTTTAGTAGAGACAGAGTCACGCCATGTTACTCAGGCTGGTCTTGAACTCCTGGACTCAAGCGATCAGCAAAGTGCAGGGGTTACAGGCTTGAGCCATTGAGCCTGACCTACTTCTGGTTTTTAGGGCCCTGGATGTTCGGATGGATTGCTAAATAAATAATAATAAAACCCTCATCAAGATGTGATTTGTATAGTTGTCACTTTATATAATATTATTTTCCTTCTGGGACCTTTCCAAGTCTGAAACCGTCCCGGAGACTTCTTTTGGTTAGTTATTTGCAATCACCTGTAGGACACACAAGAAAATCGTCAGGTTCACCTAACCGCAGAGCTGTGCATGGCAGTTTCCTGTCTCTGTCCTCCTGGGCTAAGCTCCTCATGTGAGTCACAGGCAGCCCACACTGCACTAGCTCCTGCCTGAGGAGTTCTGATGACGTTTCGGAAAAAAGATGCAATCACAGCTTTTCATTGACCTGTTAGGGTCTTCCTGTAAAGGGGGTCTTACCAGGAGTCCTGTGTGGGCTTCAGGGTAGGGGGCCTTTGAACCCCCTAAAACTTATATTTCAAATGTGTGGATGGTGTATTTTAGATTTCATTTGTTTCTCAAATCAAAACTTCTGTTTGCAAGGCAGTTATGCAATATGGTTGGGGCAATTACTATTTCCGGAGACTTTTGATCAGTATCTGTTAAACTTTTTTTTTTTTTCTTTGAGACAGTCTAACTCTGTTTCCCAGGAGTGCAGTGGCACGATCTAGGCTCACTGCAACCTCTGCCTCCCAGGTTCAAGCGATTCTCCTGCCTCAGCCTCCTGAGTAGCTAATATTACAGGTGTGCACCACCACGCCTGGCTGTGTTTTTTTTGGATTTTTACTAGATTCAGGGTTTCACCATGTTGGCCAGGCTGGTCTCAAACTGCTGACCTCAAGTGATCTACCTGCCTCAGCTTCCCAAAGTACTGGGATTATAGGCGTGAACCACCGCGCCCGGCCTGTTAAACATTTTGATATGCCAACTTCATGATCCAGTGCTATAAACGGCAGGAGATCCAGCTGCTACAGCACAAACACTCAGACCAGTGTGCAAGAATTATGTCCAAGGATGTTCACTGCACAATGTAAGAGTGAAAAATAGGGAACATTAAAACTTCATTCATTATACTAAAAGTATGGAATACTATTTAGCTGTTCAAAAGAATGACATGTACGTACTGACATATAAAATGTGATAAGGTGTTAAGTGAAAAACAGCTGCAGAACAGTATGAAGACTCAGATCCTAGTTTTGCTCAGAAGACAGTGTCTCTCTTTATATATATAGATACATATGCACATAAAGTTGAGAAGATCACACACCAAGCTTTTAACAATCATTGGCGGGGCGCGGTGGCTCACGCTTGTAATCCCAGCACATTGGGAGGCCAAGGTGGGCAGATCACCTGAGCTCAGGAGTTCAAGACCAGCCTGGCCAACATGGTGAAACCCCATCTCTCCTAAAAATACAAAAATTAGCGGGGCATGTTGGTGCATGCCTGTAATCCCAGCTAGTTAGGAGGCTGAGGCAGGAGAATTGCTTGAACCTGGGAGGCAGAGGTTGCAGTGAGCTATCAAGCCACTGTACTCCAGCCTGGGCAACAGAGTGAGACTCTGTATGAAAACAAACAAAAACAATGATTACCTCTGGAGAGTAGAATTGGAGATGTAAAATGAGGGGGGACATCTTGATACATTTTACTTGATACACTCATATTGTTTTAATATTTTTACACAGTATGTATTAGCTTCTGGAAAAAGAATAAAAGCTAAGGATTGCTGAAGTTCATGTGTGACTGTCATTCAATGGACATTTGTTGAAAGGATGAATGCCCGGGCCACTTGTCTCCTCTGCTTCTCTGCTCTTTTGCTTGTACTTCCTGACCTTGGCTTGTCACTTGTCTGGGTTTATCCAGGCAGGTGCTCTCAGGCACCCCCAGGGCTCTAGTGGTTCGTGAATCCAGGCTGCACACAGTGTGTCCCTGGGTTGGGGCCACTGCAAGTTTTCATGAGCCCCTCCGCCGCTGCCAGGGGCAACCCCCACCCAAGGGCAGCTGGTTGCTTGGCTCTCCCCGTTCTGAAACCTGTTACTGGGCATCTGTGCCTGCCCTGACGGCTCTTCCATGAATACAGGGACTCTGCCCAGTTGCCTCGCGAGGCGTGCTGCCCCGTGGATCCCTGCTGCCATCTGGCCATGCTTTGGGATCTGGCCTGCTCTGTTGTGCTTATATCTGTGGCTGGGAACAGCTGACGCTGGGACAAAAAAATTGGGACAATTGCCCCTGCTTCAGGTCCCCAGGTTGCTGCCAGGACCAGCTGCACAGTGACTCCCACAGCAGGATTTGGCTGGGAAAGGCCCCTAAGCAGCCTTTCATCCAGTCAGTCTCAGGTCAGGCTCCTTTGACGTGTGGGTGGCGCCTCCAAAGGTGGACTCAGATGGGTTTTTCCCAATTTATTTATAAAAAAACCAATTAATGATTAATGGCTACTGGCTTTTTGATTTTGCATTTTTCTCCAACAAACATTTTCGGAATCTCTGCCTGTGACCACTTGTTGGCAAAAAGATGCCAGCAGACAGACAAATGAACAAGGAGCTGGCAAGAATCAGTGGGAACACTTGGAAGCAGACACCTGCTTATTTTGACAGTTTAATTTCCTCCTGTAACCACGTGCTCATGGCTGCAGCTTCATATTTGGTTTTATAAGTGTCAGTTACTTTTGTAAGTGCAGAAGTTTTATAAGTGCAGTTAAGTCAGTTAGTTTTATAAGTGCAGAAGTAACACTTCTCTGCAAATTAAAGTTAGTGAAGTCAGATGCCAGCTTTCCCCTTCTTTGGGGGCTCTGCCACAAATACCATAACTCCCTCTTGCTCTAGGGCCTAAAAATGTGAAGGAGTCCTGATCTAGTTCAAGTCCCATTTTACAGAAGAGCAAACTGAGGTGGTCCCTAATTGGCACAGAGTGTCCGCCTCTTCTCCCCCAGCTTCTATTACCAGGCATGGTGCTTCCTCTGCCCTCTCCTGGCCACCCTTTTCTTGTGACTGGGTTTCCTGTTCTGGCTGCTTTCGCCTACTGCTGCGTGTATCCATGGCTGCTCCTTAATATTGATGCCAACTATTATTATTATTTTCAGAGACAAGGTCTTGCTATGTCGCTCAGGCTGCAGTGCAGTGGTGTGACCTTGGCTTACTGTAGCCTCCACCTCTCGGGCCCAAAAATCCTTCCACCTCAGCCTCCCAAGTAGCTGAGACTACAGGCATGCACCACCATGCCTAATTTAAAAAAAAAAAATCTTTGTAAAGACAGAGTCTTGCTATGTTGCCCAGGCTGCTCTTGAACTCCCGGGCTCAAGCAATCCTCCCTCCTTGGCCTCCCAAAGTGTGCGATTACATTTGTATGAGCCACAGCACCTGGCCTATTATTTTTAATGAATAATTTTTAATGCTTATTGTTATAAAAAAATGTGTGTTTATTGTTAAAAAGAATTTGAGCTAGTGTGGAAGCTCAGAGCAGACAGCTCTCTGAGTTTACATTTACAAGACAGGGGACCAACTCGGCTTTATTTGCCTGGGATGGTCCCAGTGTAAAACAGGAAGTCCTGCATCCTGGAAAACCTCTCAGTCCTGGGCAAACCAGGATGGTTGGTCACCCTACAGAATAGCTAGAAGATGCCTAAGGGGCACTAATTTCCAATAATTAATGCTATGGGGGTCTCAAAGTATCAGGTTTTGGGTTTTGCAAATATATACCTGTTTATAGCACTGGATGGTGGAGTCTGGGCCACACACAGATACACAAAAATAAAATCACCATTCCTATGGAACTCTTTTTTTTTTTTTTTTGAGACAGAGTCTTGCTCTGTCACCCATGCTGGAGTGCAGTGGCGTGATCTCGGCTCACTGTAAGCTCCGCCTCCCGGGTTCATGCCATTCTCCTGCCTCAGCCTCCCAAGTAGCTGGGACTACAGGCACCTGCCACCATGCCCAGCTATTTTTCTTTTTTTTTGTATTTTTAGTAGAGACGGGGTTTCACCGTGTTAGCCATGATGGTCTCAATCTCCTGACCTCATGATCTGCCCGCCTCGGCCTCCCAAAGTGCTGGGATTACAGGCCTGAGCCACAGTGTCCGGTCATGGAACTCACTCTTAACATGCCTGAGCAGTGTTCAACCTCTTTGGACAAGGCCACCCTCTATGTTCCTTTTCACTCAGCTTTACCCACACAGAAATTTTGGGGACCCATGGGGGGCCCAGCAGTTGCCAAGGTCTGCAGCCTTCTCCAAGGGGTTCCCATCTAGCTCTCAAGAGGAAGGAGGGGGTTCTCAGTCGCCAGGTGGGCATGGCACTCCCGAGGCCAGGTAAGCAGGGCAGTGCCCTGGGGCTCAGGGCTGGTCTGGTTCTTACCGAATTGATCCAGTCATTATAGTTGGAGACCCGTGTGAAGATGGAGGGCATGTAGTAGTAGTTACAGCCAAGGACGGACGTGAGGCTGCCGATGCCATGCACCTCCCACCGGCCGTCAGCTGCCTGACAGTTCAGCGGCCCGCCGGAGTCTCCCTGAGGAAGGCCAGAGTTATAGAAGGGTAAAGGGAGAGGAAGGGGCTGCCCTTTGGAACCATTGTTCTCAATGCATTTCTATTGTTCTGCTGCAGGTCACTGTCCTCTGAAGGCAGCCCTTGTGGTCATAGCCCAAGATGGTACCCTAATTCCAACAAGAGCCAACACTTATTCTTCCTGTGTGGCCAGAGCTGAGCTAAGCATGTTCTATGCCTTATCTCATTAATCCTCACAAAATCCTATGAGGTAAATATTCACAGTGTCCCTAGGCCACTGGAGAGGAGAAACTGGAGTGTTGAGAGGTTGGGACTTGCCCAAGGTTGCACAGGCCGTTTGTAAAGGAGCTGAGGCCACATCCCAGAGTTCAGCTGCCAGGCTCTTCCCCACTGGCTCTGTCTTCCCGCGGGTGGGGTGGTCTGTGTGGGCAGAGTGTGTAGGGCACAGTGTGATCTGAAGGGTGTGTGGGTCTCCTTCCTATTCCATCCCCACTTCACTGCTAAGTCCAACACAGAGCAATTCCTGGTGGTTAAGACACTGTCTCCAGGAAGGTTTCCATGGCAGCTACCTGGAGGGGACACACTGCGCCATGGATGAGAGTAATTCAACCCAGGGATTAGTTTCCTTTGGCTCCCTTCCAGCATAGAGGAAAGGATACGGAATGACAGTCATGAGAGACCTTGATGAGACCCAGGGAAGGACTTCCCAGCAGTGAGAGGGGTGGACGCGACAAGGAGAATCTCAAAACAAGAACAAACAAGAACAAGAACTAAGAAGAAAAAAGGTCAGGGTTTTTTTTTTTTGTTTTTTTTTTTTTGAGTTTCACTCTGTCAACCAGGCTGGAGTGCAGTGGCACCATCTCAACTAGCTGCAACCTCTGCCTTCTGGGTTCAAGTGATTCTCCTGCCTCAGCCTCCCATTGTAGCTGTGACTACAGGTACGCGCCACCATGCCTGGCTAATTTTTATTTTTAGTAGAGACAGGGTTTCACCATGTTGGCCAGGCTGGTCTCAAACTGCTGACCTCAAGTGATCTGCCTGCCTCGGCCTCCCAAAATGCTGGGATTATAGGCGTGAGCCACCGTGCCTGGCCAAAGGTCAGGTTCTGATATATCTGGTACCATTTCCGGGTGCTTCTGCCAGGAGGTGGGAGGATGGACCTATCAAGGGATAGTTTTCCATAGCCTCTTCCCATCCCCAGCCACATTTTGTCATGGAGCGGAGCCCCTGATTATTGGCACTCACGTTGCAGGTACATATCACGCCATCACCCCCAGCGCAGATCATATTGGTCTTCACGGTGCTGCCCCAAGAGCGGGGGCTGGAGCAGGTGGCATAGTCCACAACCAGCAACCGGCCCTGCTGCAGGTCATCAGGGACAGCCCTGTTGGCTGAATGAGACCAGAGAGAAGGCATTAGGGACGCAGGGACTCCTGAGAAAAAGGAAGTGGCAGACTCCCACTGGGTTTCCCGTTACTGTCTTCCATCCATTGCAACAGGGGAACAGCCATGTTTGTCTATACTGTTTCCTCACACTTGATTGGTTAGTGTGCTGGCCACTGGTGATTGGTTCAGCAGTGAACACCTGACTCTAGCTAAGCCAATCAGCTCCCTCCCCTGGGATTTTGCGACGGGGATGGAGAGATTCCGGTTGTGGAGGAGGCAAATCTGGGAAGTCCTTGTCAAAGGCTGACATTTTCTTCTGTGTGCAGAAGAATGAAGTAGACCCACAAAGAAAGAAATTTCTAACTGAAGTGTTTCCTGAGTTTCTTACAGGCTTCCAACCCCTGATTCTAGCCTGTTCCTGATGACTGGCTGTATCTCTGCCCTTGGGTTGAAACTTTTCTTTTTTTGAGACGGAGTTTCGCTCTGTCGCCCAGGCTGGAGTGCAGTGGCCGGATCTCAGCTCACTGCAAGCTCCGCCTCCCGGGTTCACGCCGTTCTCCTGCCTCAGCCTCCCGAGGAGCTGGGACTACAGGCGCCTGCCATCTCGCCCGGCTAGTTTTTTGTATTTTTTAGTAGAGGCAGGGTTTCACCATGTTAGCCAGGATGGTCTCCATCTCCTGACCTTGTGATCCGCCTGTCTCGGCCTCCCAAAGTGCTGGGATTACAGGCTTGAGCCACTGCACCCGGCCGGGTTGAAACTTTTAAATCCTTATAATAATTTCCCTTATTTTTTTGCTGAGCTAGTTCCCTGGTTTTCTGTCACTTACCTGAAATAAGAAAGTGAGCCTCCTGGCAGTTAGAGCCCCCTCCTTGGGAAAAATATGCTGGTGTGGTGAAGAGAGGGCTTTCATAATGGCCCCCAATGACACAGCCACCATCACCTCCATTACTGTTACTACTGCTATGAGTGGCAAGGATGATATTAACATAATTTTTCACTGGCGATTGAAGCCAAGGGAAGTTAGGCATTAGCCAGGCATGGTAGTTCACCCTGTAATCCTAGCAGTTTAGGACGCCAAGGCGGGTGGATCACTTGAGGTCAGGAGTTTGAGACCAGCCCGGCCAACATGATGAAACCTCATCTCTAGTAAAATATAGAAATTAGCTGGGCATGGTGTCTGTAATCCCAGCTACTCAGGAGGCTGAGGCAGGAGAATCGGTTGAATCTGTGGGAGGCAAAGGTTGCAGTGAGCCGAGATTGCACACTGCACTCCAGCCTGGGTGACAGAACAAGGCTCTGTCTCAAAAACAAAAAAAAAAGGTTTTTGCTTAAGACCACTCTAATTTATAAGTAATTAACACTTGTATAACATTTTGCAATGTCTGATGCATTTTCACCTTTCACCTCTTTTGGTCTTCACCAACCGTGTTTCCATTTTATAGATGAGGAGACTGAGGTTCGGAAGTGACTTGCCCAAGGTTTCACCGTGACCGACAGAGCTGGGCCTAAAAGCCAAGCATTTGGATGCCTCCCTGCTCTCAATGTCTCAGATGAACTGCATCTGCCCCAGGGTTGTCTGGAGAAACGAACAGGTGGTTGTGCTTCTGTCTTAATAAGCATGAAATGCCTCTTCCACCACCGCTCACCGCAGGATTTCATGTGTCCTTGTGTTTACAGGTAAGCCAGTCAAGAGGGCAATGGGGATTTATTGGAGGGTATGTATGTGGATGTACCCCTGGAAAAACATGTCATTATACTTATCTGTTTATGTCATTAGGAAGAAATGTCATAATGTCATTATCACTCATAATGTCGTTATGGTCATAAGGTCATTATCACTCATCCCTTCCTAGAATCTTCTAAACCTCTGGTGATTTCACAAGCGAAGGGCAGGAACTCTGTTCCTCTTGGTGGCTACAGTCATTGGATCTCTGCGCCTTGGAGTCTATGTCAAAGGAGACCTGCCCTCAGCCAGGTTCTGAGCAGCAAGACCGAATGGCACAGGGGACAGCTTTTGCCATGGGGCACAGAGGGTCTGATGAGGGCTCCAGGGGCCTTTGTGGAACTCCAGAGGCCTCAGGTCACAGAGGAAATGCCGTTCTGAACTCTAGCCTTGGGCCACACAGAAGATGTCACATGATCTCTGCAACTTTCTTTCCATCATAGGGACAGTGACAACAACTAACACACAGCACCTACCACATGCCAAGCACTGGTCTCCAGGCTTCCTGTGGATTATCTCCTTTAATCCTCTTGACAACTCTGTGATGTAGCTGCTATTATTATGCTTTTTTTTTTTTTTTTTTTTTTTTTTTTTTAGATGGAGTCTCGCTCTGTCCCCCAGGCTGGAGTGCAGTGGCGCAATCTTGGCTTACTGCACCCTCTGCCTCCCAGGTTCAAACGATTCTCGTGCCTCAGGCTCCCAAGTAGCTGGGACTACAGGTGCACACCACCACACCTGGTGAGTTTATATTTTTAGTAGAGATGGGGTTTCACCATGTTGGCCAGGCTGCTCTCAAACTCCTGACCTCAAGTGATCCACTCGCCTTGGTCTCCCAAAGTGCTGGGATTACAGGCGTGAGCCAGGGAGCCCAGCCAATTATTTGCATTTTACATATGATAAAAGTGCTGCATGGAGAGACCTAGTAATGTGCCCAAGGTGTCACAGTCATGAAGTGGGAGAGCTGACATTTGAACCCAGGCAGGCATCAGCCTATGCCATCCCGTCTCTCCCAGGCAGCCACACACCCTGGGATGACAGGTGAGAGGCCCTGGCCAGACAGGGGTGACATCACCTCCCTTCCCTCCCAGGCCTGGGGGCTCCTGGTTCCCACTTACTCTGCAGATTTCCCCAGCCCGTGACGTAGCAGGGGTAGTTGTTGGGTAGAATGGTGCCGGCAGGAGGGAGGCAGGCCAGCTGGATCTTGTCGGTGAGGGAGACGGGGTTAGCCAGTTTGAGCAGGGCAATGTCGTACCTGGGTCAGTGCAGAGGCAGAGCATGAGGACAGGGTTGACTTTTCCTGCCCTGTGGGGCTTTGGAGGGCTCTGAGACCTTGTCATCGTTCCCTGTACATTACCCCAGGTTGCTCTGAGTGGCAGGGCCCCAGGGCATGTTTGAAAATGCAGACGGGCGGCCTCGCACGGTGGCTGATGCCTGTAATCCCAGCACTTTGGGAGACTGAGGCAAGCAGATCACGGGGTCAGCAGATCGAGTGTTCCTGGCTAACACAGTGAAACCCCGTCTCTACTGAAAATACAAAAAATTAGCTGGGCATGGTGGTGGCGAGCACCTGTAGTCCCAGCTACTCAGGAGGCTGAGGCAGGAGAATGGCATGAACCCAGGAGGCAGAGCTTGCAATGAGCCGAGATCGCGCCACTGCGCTTCAGTCTCTGCGACAGAGCGAGACTCTGACTCTCTCTCTCTCTCACACACACACACACACACACACACACACACAAAGAAAGAAAATGCAGATGGCCTTGTTGAAAGGGGCAAGGCAGGAGAGGTTGTGTCCTACTCCAGGGACAGTCACAGGGTTGACAGCACTGTCCCTGTGTCCCCAGGACTTGGCATGAAGTAGATACATGCTCAGTGGACAGGGGCCCTGCAGGCTTAACTGGCAGCAAACCCAGGTCACTCTGGCAGTCTTTGCTTCTCCCTCCCCAGGTCACTTCCCCACTCCAGACAGCTTTGGAGCTGGTTCCACCTCTAAGAGGCCAGAGTTCCTTTCTCTTCCCTATAGAAAAAGCAGAGTGAGTGTGGTGGGGTTGAGACCCTTGCCTCTGTGAGACCCCCATCTGTTCCCTGACAACCTCACCCTCAAGTGCACCCAGACAGAAACGAACCCTTTGGAGACCTGGTCGGAGTTCCAGTCCTGGTGCACCACAGTCTTAGAGACACTGACGGCCAGCGAGCCGGACTCTGCAGTGTAGAGGTTGTGCTGTCCCAGCACCACGCGGTAGGTCCTGGAGGAGCTGGGAGAAAGGGGGCCCAGGGAGAGGGTCACCTCCAGAGGCCTGGCTTTGGACAGTGTTGGGATAGACCCTAGTAACTGGCTGCTGCATGAGCCACTAGTTGGGGCTTGGGCTTGGGGATCTTTCCTCCCCTGGGACAATCAGTTAGTTATAATAGAGCCTAAAGTATATAACATAAGAACTATGATCATATAATAATTGTTACTATACTAACTATAAACTACAATATAAAATAAATGTTGTAATAACAGACACTCTATAGTATTATGGAGGGAATGAGACGAACACAGAGAAAACAGGAGTCATTTGGCCTCAAGGAAATTTTCAACCTTTCATTTTCAGATGGGAAAACTGAGGCCCAGACAGGTGTAACCTGGCCCAGAGTCCCACCGTTAGTGAGAAACCAGAACTAGAAGCCAGTACTCCTGACTGTAGGCATCTATTAGTTTCCCCATCATTTCACAGAGCTTATTATAAATTAGGTGGGAGAAGGGATCACTCCTTGTAGGGAGTCACACTGACCCAGCAGAAACTCCGGTGAGTTCCAGCTGTGATGAGCAGAGGTCACAGACAAAGAAGAGGGTAAGTGAGTAACATTGCAGAACCTTGTGGGCCTTTATAATTTGTCTGCAACTCAGAATTAGCTTTCATTGAGCACTTAATAAAGTGCCAGGGACTTTAGCAAATCAATTACTGAATCCACACTAAATTCTGTTACTCCATTTTCTGCAGGTGATGGTGTTGAAACTTTGAGAAGTCAGTTAAGTTGTTCAAGGGAACCCAATTCCAGATCCAGAGGTCACATGTCGTTTCCCCAAGAGGGCAGAGATTAGGCCTTCCCCTCCTTTTTATCCTCCCTCAGTGCCTGCCTGGCACGGGACACTCCATTCATGCCATGAAATGACCCATGGGTGGACCAACACACTGAACCATTGATTGACTACAGCTTGTGTCTCAGCCAGGCTAGTGCTTATTTGCAAGATTCCTTTATGTAGCATAGTGCAGGCCATTTGAGCCCACAGCTCAGAAATGAGCACCGGCTGGTGAGCAGGCCAAGCGCCCAGGGAATGGCAGTTACCTGATGCAGTGGGCGGCCGTCAGGACCCAGTTGTTGGCTATCAGGGACCCTCCACAGGTGTGGTACCACTGGCCATTGGAGCTATACTGCAGGGAGACCTGGGGAGAAACACAGGAGCTCTGTGGCTGTGGCTGGGTTTAAAAGAGCACGGTCTCCCTGCACTCCAGTTTCCCAAGAACAGGGCTGGGACAAGGGTAAGGGGGAGTGAGGCACTCACCTCAGGTGCACAACCTAAGGAGGCACCCAAAACCTCAGACGTCAAGATAAAAAAACATGTTAATGCAATCTATAGTAAAAAAAACTCAGGCCAGGCACGGTGGCTCATGACTATAATCCCAACACTTTGGGAGGCCAAGGCAGGAGGTTGCGTTGAGCCCAGGAGTTTGAGACCAGCGTGGGCAACGTGGTGAAACCCCATGTGATAAGGTTTGGCTGTGTCCCCACCCAAATCTCATCCTGAATTGTAGCTCCCATAATCCCCATAGGTCGGGGGAGGGGCCTGGTGAGAGGTAATTGAATCATGAGTGTGGTTACCCCCATGCTGTCCTCATGCTGTTTTCGTGATAGTGAGTGAGTTCTCACAAGATCTGATAGTTTTATGTATGTATGTATGTATGTATGTATTTATATGAGACGGAGTCTCGCTCTGTCGCCCAGGCTGGAGTGCAGTGGTGCGATCTCAGCTCACTGCAAGCTCCACCTCCTGAGTTCACGCCATTCTCCTCCCTCAGCCTCCTGAGTAGCTGGGACTACAGGTGCCCAACACCGCACCCGGTTGATTTTTTGTATTTTTAGTAGAGATGGGGTTTCACCGTGTTCTCCATCTCCTGACCTTGTGATCTGCCCACCTCGGCCTCCCAAAGTGCTGGGATTACAGCATGAGCCACTGTGCCCGGCCATGATCTAGATGGTTTTATAATGGGCCTTTCCCCCTTTTGCTCAGCACTGCTCCCTGCTGCCACCATGTGAAGAAGGATGTGTTTCCTTCCCCTTCTGCCATGATTGTAAGTTTTCTGAGGCCTCCCCAACCATGCTGAGCTGTGAGTCAATTAAATCTCTTTCCTTTATAAATTACCCAGTCTCAGGTATGTCTTTATTAGCAGTGTGAGAACGGATTAATACACTGTCTCTACAGAAAAATACCCCAAAATTAGCCACTGGGTGTGGTGGTGCATGCCTGTAGTCCCAGCTACTCAGGAGGCTGAGATGGGAGGATTGCTTGATCCTGGGAAGTCTAGGTTGCAGTGAGCTGCCATTGCACTGTGCTCAGCCTGGGTGACAGAGTGAGGCCATCTCCACAGGGGACGTCCTGTCAGCTCTACCTTGAGAATTTGTGGAATGGTTGCTACCCCTTGGTCACTACCTCAACTGCATGTCCCAATCATCCTCTCTTCTTGATGATCACTCTAGTCTCTAGTCTCTTCTCCCCACTCCCACCCACATTTTCTCCCCCTTTATGGTTTGCAAAAGTTAAAACTATCTGATGACCTACTAGGCCCTCTGTGGCCTCTCTGACCCTGTAGGCTCCCACTCTTCTCTCCTCCAGCCACCCTGACTTCCATGCAGTTCCGCCAATACACCAAACCCACTTCTGCCTCAGGGCCTTTGCACTGGCTCTTCCTCCTGCCTGGAATCTTCTCGCAAATATCGGTGTAGCTCTTTTCTTCACTTCCTGTAGGTCTCTGCTCAAAATTACCTTCTCCATGAGGTCTTCTATGACCATCCTGTTCCAAGCAGTGTGCACATACACAGACATGCACACTCATGTACATGTGCACACACAGACAGCCTTGTCTCTTTCCCCTGGCTCTGCTTTACTCTTCATAGTATCTTTCGTTTTCTGGTGTGTTATTAGTTTACCCTTTCAGTTGTTTATTGTCTCTTCTACTTTATTTTATTTTATTTTTTGAGATGGAGTCTCCCTCTGTTGCCCAGGCTGGAGCGCAGTGGCACAATCTCGGCTCACTGCAACCTCTGCCTCCCAGATTCAAGCCATTCTCCTGCCTCAGCCTCCCCACTAGCTGGGATTATGGGTGCCTGCCACCATGCCCCGCTGGTTTTTGTACTTTTAATAGAGTCGCGGTTTCACCATGTTGGCCAGGCTGATCTCCAACTCCTGACTTCAGGTGATCCACCTGCCTCAGCCTCCCAAAGTGTTGGGATTACATGCGTGAACCACTGTGCCCAGCCACATCCTTGTTTTTAATTAGCCACTGGGCATTTCTCATTTTTGTGACATTAAGGGGCGTTAGATGAACTGGCTTTAAAAAAGATGTTTAAAATTGGACCAAGGGAAAAAAGACACTTAAAAGTATCTACTCCCCCACCCCAATTTAAAAATGTGCAGAAACCATCCTACAGATGTGAAATTTAGTCCATGTAATACGTATTGTTTGTGGCCAGCAAAGTGTAGCTAAAAGAACATGCACTGAACCAAATTTGAATCCTCATTCCCCCCCCAGGCTAACTCAGTGCCTTTGGGCAATTCTGTAACCTTTCCAAGTCCCAGTTGCCTTCTCTGGAAATGCGGAACATAAGCCACTGTGCAGGGCTCTCAGGGTGATTAATACTGTAATTACAATAGCTGGCTGGTGCCGTGGCTCACACCTGTAATTCCAGCACTTTGGGAGGCCGAGGCAGGTGGATCACCTTAGGTCAGGAGTTTGAGACCAGCCTGGCCAACATAGTGAAACCCTATCTCTACTAAAATATACTAAAAAAAAATCAGCTGATGTGGTGGCATACATCTCTAATCCCAGGTACTCAGGAGGCTGAGGCAGGAGAATCGCTTGAACTTGAAAAGTGGAGGTTGCACTTAGCCGAGATTATGCCATTGCACTCCAGCCTGGGTGGCAGAGTAAGACACTGCCTCTCCCCCACACCCCCCAAAAAAAGAAAATTGCATTAAAATATTATTCCTGTTGGCCGGGTGCGGTGGTTCACGCCTATAATCCCAGCACTTTGGGAGACCAAGGCAGGTAGATCACCTGAGGTCAGGAGTTTGAGACCAGCCTGACCAACATGGAGAAACCCTGTCTGTACTAAAAATACAAAATTAGCTGGGCATGGTGGCGCATGCCCATAATACCAGCTACTCTAGAGACTGAGGTAGGAGAATCGCTTGAACCTGGGAGGCAGACGTTGCGGTGAGCCGAGATTGTGCCATTGCACTCCAGCCTGGGCAACAAAAGCGAAACTCTGTCTAAGAAAAAAAAAAAAAAATATATATATATATATATACACACACACACACACACACACACACATATATATACACATATATATATATATGCCTCAGCCTCCCGAGTAGCTGGGATTACAGGTGCCTGCAATCATGCCTGGCTAATTTTTGTAATTTTAGTAGAGACAGAGTTTCCCCATGTTGGCCAGGCTGGTCTTAAACTGCTGACCTCAAGTGATCCACCCACTTCGGCCTCCCAAAGTGCTGGGATTACAGGTGTGAGCCACCGTGCCTGGCCTATCATTGACAGTCTCTTAAGGAGCAGATGAATGACGCTGGCCTCTGTAGATACAGTGACTGCTGCATGGGTCACTCTGAATGCTCAAGGCTAGTGGGCTGCTAATTGCTCCTCCTACTTAAGTTAGAAACTCATCCTGATTCAGCTGGGTTTGCTCCTAAAGCAGTTTATATCAATTGTGTTTGCAATAATGAAATTTGATTAAATATGTAACCAAATATTCTGAAATATGAGTTCAGAAAGAGAGTTGTGAAACAAAGTTAAATGCTTGGAAGAGACTGAATCACCATGATTCCTAAAAAAATTGCTCTTGAATTAGTGTCTGTGAGAAAATGGAAAGATTGTGGGGAAAAGTCATAAAAGTCGGGATGGGCTCATAACTCAGATTGCTTTGTGAACGTCTCAAAGTTACTGCTCTGCTTTAAAGAAATGGACTTGCAGATGAGATATTATGGGGCTTGGTTTATATGAAAAAGACAGTTAAGAACTCAAAAAATTGTTTACATAGTCTAAAAATGTTTACAGCATATATGATTTAAAATAATTTCTTATGACCAACTTTTCAATTACTCAGTCCCAATTACATCAGATAAATGAGATTTTACTATATTTGTTTGCGTCAATGTAAACTTTATACAATTCTTTTGAAATTCCCACAATTAACACATCTTAATGTGTTAATTTGTGCCTGTGCCCAACTGGGCAGTTTAGTCTTAATATCACTATTATATCAACTTAAGAAACATTTTCCTTGGTAACATTGATTTGCCTGTAAAGATTAATCTGCATAAATAGCACTGATTGGTTCCTTAAAGCAAGGAATATTTGCATAGGTAGTCTTGAATGGTTCATAGGATAATGGTACATTTGAAAGCAAGCCTCTGATTGGTTAACAGAGTAAGACTATACTTGTAAATTTGTGTATAGGCAGTGGGGAGGGGACAGCTCCTTACTGCAGTTGGAGGAGGCACCTCTCCCTCCACTCCCAAGGTTGGCCAAGGCCACAGAAATGTATCTTTTTTTTCTTTTTTTGAGATGGAGTCTCTGTTTGTTATTCAGGCTGGAGTGCAGGGGTGCAATCTCATCTCACTACAACTTCTGCCTCTCGGGTTCAAGTGTTTCTCCTGCCTCAGCCTCCCAAGTTGCTGGGATTACAGGCATGCGCCACTGCGCTTGGCTAATTTTGTATTATTAGTAGGGACAGGGTTTCACCACGTTGCCCGGGCTGGTCTCAAACTCCTGACTTCAGGTGATCTGCCCACCATGGCCTCCCAAAGTGCTGGGATAACAGGCATGAGCCACTGCACCCAGCCGGAAATGTATCTTACTGGTGAAGTTGCCTGTGCTGCTCTCTGAGTCCCATCAATGCTCACTTTGCCAGCACAGTAAACCCCATGGTGGAAGGGCAAAGGGGGGATGTAAAGGGAATGGGGCAGGGACGGGGGTAAGTACAGTGTGGTCAACTCACCTGCCAGGGCCAGCTGTTGGGCCTCGCTTCTTCACCACCATACATCCTAGACATACCAGGTGGGTAACTGGGGACCCCACAACTGAGGGCTATGAAAAGAGAAAGGGACTTGAGTCCAAGAAGCAGCGACCCACACAATGTAAACTACACTTGCTGCATTCTGAACCCCCAAATAGAAAACCCTTGTTCTAGAAGGATCCCAAGAGGTCATAGAATCCTGCTCTTTGCTCCAGTTCTTTGAAACTCCATTCCAGTTTTCTTATGACTATACATCTGAATGCAGTAGGGGTTGGGTGGGGGCCAGAGGGGAGGACAGGAAGATCCCATTCCAGCCCAACCAGGGGATGGGAAAGCAGTGGCTCTGGGTGACAGGGTTTACCTCCAGCCACCAAAGCAGACAGCAGCAGCAGGGTCCTAATCATGGTGTGTCCGTGGGAGTTCTGTCAGCGTGGCCCTGGATAAGGCCCCGGTTTTATGAGCGAACTTATCAGTGAGAGATACACTGGGAGCACGCAAGATGGGGATTTTCTCAAAGCCCAGTGGAAAAAAGAGCTTGTGTCCAAATATTTTTTTTTCCCATTTCGTCCCAGCTGTCACCCTAGAACTACTTTGAAAAGAGGCCAAGGGTAGATATTGGAATATGGGTTCCATCTGTTTTAAAGAGATTATGTTGTGTGTTAGGGAAGGAAGAAAAATACTAATTGTTGGTCTTTGGAGTTATGTTTTCTTTCTTTTTTTTCTTCCCTGAGTAAGACTGAGGAGAGAAGTTGTGTTTTCTTTCTTTTTTTTTTTTTCTTTCTGAGACAGAGTCTTGCCCTGTCACCCAGGCTGGAGTGCAGTGGCACTATCTTGGCTCACTGCAACCTCTGTCTCCTGGGTTACAAGTGATTCCCCTGCCTCAGTCTCCATAGCAGCTGGGATTACAGGTGTGTGCCACCATTCCTGGATAATTTTTGTATTTTTAGTACTGATGGGGGTCTCATCATGTGGGCCAGGCTGGTCTTGAACTCCTGTCTTCAAGTGATCTGCTTGCCTTGGCCTCCCAAAGTGCTGGGATTCCAGGCTGAGCCACCGCACCAGGAGTTGTGCGTTTTCAATGTAAAGATGAAGGCGGCATTCTGAACCCACAGCGTTCTAAGGCGGTATTTCTCAGTAGGGCTGGTTCAGCCACCAGGAGACGTTTGACAACATCTGGGGACATTGTTGGGTGTCATGGCTGGGGTTGATGTTATTGGCATCCAGCGGTCAGACAGCAGAGATGCTGCTAAACATCCGAGAATGCACTGGGCAATAGGACTTGCCCTGCCCCAAATGTCAATGTTGCTGAGGCTGAGAAAGCCTGTTCTAGGCCACGCCAGGGCTTGCAGTGTGACCTTGGCTGGGTCATGTAAGTCTCTAGACCTATCTGTGAAACAGGGAGAGAAACCTGTGCCCAGCGTGTTTCACAACATTATGGTAAGGATTTGTGTAATGTGGGGAAGGTGCACACATAGCAGAAGGCAAGGCCGACATGCACAATTAGGATCTGGCTGCCCTAAAGATGGGGGGAAGCAGAACACTGGCAGAGGAGGGCTTCATCGGGTGGATCAAAATGCACTTTATGGCCAGGCACAGTGGTTCACTCCTATAATCCCCGAAGTTTGGAGGCTGAGGCTGGTGGATCACCTGAGGCCAGGAGTTTGAGACCAGCCCAGTCGACACTGCAAAACCCTGTCTCTACTAAAAATAGAAAAATTAGCCAGACGTGGTGACACGCACCTGTAATCCCAGCTACTCAGGAACCTGAGGCAGGAGAATCACTTGAACCCAGGAGTCAGAAGTTGCAGTGAACCAAGATTGCACCATTGAACTCTCGCCTGGGTGACAAGAGCAAGACTCCATCTCAAAAAAAAAAAAAAAGAAAGAAAAAAGACCAGGTGCACTGGCTCACGCCTGTAATTAGCCAGGCGTGATGGTACCTGCCTATAGTCCCAGCTACTCGGCAGGCTGAGGCAGGATAATCACTTGAACCTGGGAGGCAGAGGTTGCAGTGAGCTGAGATCAAGCCACTGCACTCTAGCCTGGGCAACAGAGTGAGACTCAGTCTTAAAAAAAAAAAAAAAAAAAAGGACCAGCCTGGAAAACATAGTGAGACCCCCCACCCAGTCCCCGTCACTACAAAATTTTCTTTAAAAAGTTAGCCAGGCATGGTGGCACACATATGTGGCTCCAGCTACTCTGGAGGCTGAGGCAGGAGGGTCGCTCGAGGCTGGCTGGTCAAGGCTGCAGTGAACTGCAATCAAGCCACCACAGCCTGGGCGACAGATGCATTTTATGTCCTTTTCCAGGAGAAAAACAGTTTGGACCTCTCCAATACCCTCATCTTCCAAATTGTGTCAAAGCAGAAGCTTCTTCCAAAGGGGAACAAACAAAGGCAGGGTGACACTCACCCAGCACCACATAGACATTAGATGCACTCACATTCCTTATTGAATCTAAGCCCTAGGAAACCCTGCAAGAGGCTCTCTTATTTCACAGGAGGAAGCTGAGCTTCAGAGAGGTGAAGTGACTTGCCCAAGATCCTACAGCTTCTAAGCGGCAGAATGGGAATTGGAACTAGGTTGGTCTGATTCCAAAGCCCATTACTTGCCACCACTGGAGACAGCATCCTGCCTCACCTCCTAGGAGTTCAACTTGTGTTGGGGGGAAGCGTGGAGTGAGCACGGTTTCCTGGTGGACTCTCTTGTTCTTCCTTAGACCTTCACTCTCCTTGCCTTTTGGGACAGCACAAAGCCAGGCAGGCCTGCTGCTGATGAGGAAGCTCCGCTCTCTGACCACAAACTCTAGCTTTTGCCCCAGTCAAAAAAGCAGTGGGGAAACTGGACTTCAACCCCTAAGACTTGAGTTGAAGTCTTTGATCCACCAATTTTGAGTGCGGTGGTCAGGACAAGTCACTTATCTTCTGGGCCTTAGTTTCCTAGATAACCACCCAGGCCTGGATTGCAGGATTATTGTATGGGGAAGAAAATGGGTGGGAAAGAATTCTGTAATCTCCCTAGGATCGTGCAAAGGTGAGGAAGATTGGGGGCGTGGGAAGACCCCATGGGAAGGATATCAGAAGACGTGGGTTCCAGTCCCAACTCCATCCCATACTCTCTGTAACAGTTTGGACTTACTTATGGTCTGCATCAGTCACTACAGCAACCAACTATTTCCTATTTCTTTTTCTTTCTTTTTTTTTTTTTTTTTGAGGAGTTTCACTCTTGTTGCCCAGGCTGGAGTGAGGAGTGAAGTGGCATGATCTCGGCTCACCACAACCTCTGCCTCCCGGGTTCAAGTGATTCTCCTGCCTCAGCCTCCTGAGTAGCTGGGATTACCGGCGTGCACCACCACATCCAGCTAATTTTTGTATTTTTAGTAGAGATGGGGTTTCTCCATGTTGGTCAGGCTGGTCTTGAACTCCCGACCTCAGGTGATTTGCCTGCCTCAGCCTCCCAAAGTGCTGGGATTACAGGCATGAGCCACCGCGCCCAGCACCAACCAATTATTTCTTAAGTCTCATATTTTATTTGGCATTCTGCTCTGTGTCTTTAATATAAAAAGAAGGCTTGTCCTATAGGAGGCCACTGAACAAACACCAGCTGTGAATTTTCTGTGTGACCTTGGGCCAATCTCACAGGCTTTCTGGTCTAGGGTTGCCTATCTACAAACAAGGAGAAGAACAGATGCTCGGTCCGTTCCACCACATTGCTGTCAGGATTTGAAAATGACACAAAACTTACACAGTTGTGCTTAAGCCAACAAAATGGCAAAATCCAGGAGCAAAGCTGGCTTCAGGCAGAGCAGGTTTCAGGGCCCTGGTGATGGCCCTTGGACTTGGCTTTTCTTCATCTTTTGCTTCTGCCTTCTGCTTTGAGGTCTCATCTCAGCCTCCGTTAAGAGGCCTGTAGCTGCTCCGGGTTCTCCCTTCCTTGAGGACAAGATCACCGCAGCATCTCTGGTCCGGAGTTCCTCACCTGCAGCAGTGTTGACATTTCGGGCGGGATGATGCTTTGTTTTGAGGGCTGTATGTATGTCCTGGGCATTGTGGGAGTTTGACAGCATCCCTGGCCCCAGTCCGCTAGATGCCAGTCCCTACCCCTCCCCACACAGTGCCGCAACTAAAAATGTCTCCACACATTGCCAGATGTACTCTGGGGAGCTAAATCACCCCGTCTCCCCCTTCCCCTCTCATTTTGCTTTGTAGCCTCACATTCCCTCATCCTCACACCTGTGCAGTGAATGACAGCCCTCTGGTAGCTCCCCGCTCAAGTCGTGCAACCTCTCTGATTGGACCTGCCTCCAGTCACATGCCCATCCCTGAGCCAATTGCTGCAGTGGGGAAGGGGATGCAATGTGTTGATTGGCTAGGCCTGGAACACGGGCTCCAGCCTTGGTCCTGGGCCATGAGGTTTCACCCAGAACCTCTGGATCCGGTGGGGCAGCGCCTGCACAGAAATCCAGGCTTCTCTGCTGGGAGGGGAGGAAAGGGAGGCCGAGGATGCAGAGTGCAGGAAGCCGCTACAGCCCACTTCCCTCCCTGGAGCTTAGTGCTCCATTTATATGTTGTTTGACAATAATGTCATGTGTCAGGTTCTAAAGTGGGCTGGGTCCTTGAGGTCTCAGTCGGGCAGGGAGACGCAGATGCAAAATTCTTTTTTTCTTTTTTTTTTTTTTTGAGGCAGGGTCTCACTCTGTCGCCCAGGCTAGAGTGCGATGACGCGATCGTGGCTCACTGCAGTCTCTACCTCCTGGGCTCAAGCGATCCTCCCACCTCAGCCTCCTGAGTAGCTGGGACTACAGGTGCGTACCACCTCGCCCATTTACTTCTTGTGTTTTTAGTAGAGACAGGGTTATGCCATGTTACTCAGGCTGGTCTTGAATTCCTGGACTGGAGCGATCTGCCTGCCTTGGCCTCCCAAAGTGCTAAGTGCTGGGATTACAGGGTTGAGCCACTGTGCCCAGCCTATTTCTGGTTTTTAGGGCCCTGGATATTAGGATGGATTGCTAATAAATCTCTCATCAAGATGTGATTTGCATAGTTGTCACTTTATTATAATATTAATTTCCTTCTGGGACCTTTCCAAGTCTGAAACCGTCCCGGGGACTTCTTTTGGTTAGTTATTTGCAATCACCTGTAGGACACACAAGAAAATCGTCAGGTTCACCTAACTGCAGAGCTGTGCGTGGCAGTTTCCTGTCTCTGTCCTTCTGGGCTAAGCTCCTCAAGTGAGTCACAGGCAGCCCACACTGCACTAGCTCCTTCCTGAGGAGTTCTGATTATGTTTTGAAAACAAAGATGCAATCACAGCTTTTCATTGACCTGTTAGGGTCTTCCTGTAAAGGGGTTCTTACCAGGAGTCCTGTGTGGGCTTCAGGGTAGGGGGCCTTTGAACCCCTAAAACTTATATTCCAAATGTGTGGATGGCATATTTTTAGATTTCATTTGTTTCTCAAATCAAAAC